CTCTTTCCCTGTCTCTCCCTCTCTCTTTCTTTGCTTACCATTTGAGACTAAGTCGCAGACATCAGAACTCTTCATTTACCTCTAAACATTTCAGTGTGCGTTTTCTAAACACAAGGACATTCTCCTACATAATCACAGCATGGTTATCACACTCCAGACAGTTAACATTGATAAAATAACCATATCTACTGTACAGACCTTCTTCCATTTCCTCCAGGTGTCCTCCCAATAATGCTCCTTACAACTCCCCACTCACCACTCCCTGATCCACTAAAAGCTCACCCTTTGCTGTTGCCTGGAGTTTGGATTTCTCCTCTCCTGGGGGCTCTGCGATTCTGGGGCAGCTCTACGTTGGGACAACATTGGCCCAGTACTCATACGCACTGGTGGGTTCCTTCCGTGGACCCCCGGAGCCTCACTTCAGCCCCATAAATGTCTTCCTAGGCCCTAGAGGTGCAAGATGGAGGGGATACTGGCCCTGCCCTGGGACCTTGTGCTGGAGGAATTTAGCCTCACAATAAACTAGCTTCCTTTTACATTTGCTGCCCCTGTGTGCTGGGCAAGGACTTGTCCTTCTGTCCCCACAACAACCCCTGCAGCTGGTACTATTTTCTCCCCTCTTACCAGTGAATGGAGGAGTTTTTGTTTTTCCATCTGTGTGAGGATGCTGGTAATGACCACATGGGGTGAAAGTCGCTGCCTCTGGATGAAGCCAGGACATGGCCACCTCCTCCTCCAGCCTCCAGACTCGATCCTCTGTGGTGGTGGTGGTGGTGGGGGGGGGCTGTCAGTCAAGGCTCCTGAACTTCATAGGCATTTCAGGGCTGCGCCAGCTCCACCCTACAGTCGCTGCAGTCATCTTTGGGGGATGGCTTTACCAGCTCCAAGACACCTCATTGCCACCGGATAACCTCTCCAGTAGCCAAGCTGCAGCCACCACACTGGGCTTGGGTCACGCCAACAACGCCCCGTGGTTTTCTAAGCCTCAGAGCACGTACATGGTGGGGAAGGCAGGGCCTGTGACCTACTCAGCCCCAGGGCCCTGGCAGGAGACACAGAACTGTTAGCTTTCACAGACGCGATTTTAGCTAAAATCCTCCCTAAGCCAGGCAGGGTGGGGGACATCGTCTTTATTTGTGGTAAGGAAACAGGTGTAGAGACAAATCTTGAAAGTAACTTATTTAAGATTGTAGCAAAAAGAAAGGCAGAAATGGAGTGCAAAAGCCCCTCGTGTTACTGTAAGGGAAAGCGAGACTCAGAGACTCAGAGAGCACTAGGTTTGGTTCCCGGGTGTGGTACTTTGCAGCTGCCTGACTTTGGCTCTAGGTAGGAAGCATCCCTTGTAAGGAATTATCTGAGCCCGGGATCATGGTGCATATTAAAGGCAGAGGTGGGACCAGAACCCAGGCACTCAGCAGGTCTTAAAGCAGGTCCACGGTGCTGTCCAGCTCATGCTGTACTTCTTGCCGGTTCTTGGGGCCAGAAGCCTGAATAGATCAACTCATTGCGGTCACTGCAGGGAGCCGAGCTTTTCCGGCTGAGACACGGGCAGATGGGGCTCCTCTGGAATCAGGAGTTGAGGTTTGAATTCTGACTCGAGTGACCTTAGTGCGATTTGACCTCTGGGGTCTCCGTTTTCTCATCTGTAAAATGGGACACTGTGTGGGGAAGTTTGGTTCTACTCCACCCTAGGAAAGTCATTACACACAAGGACCTCATTTTTCTCCTCTGTAAAACGGAGAGAATAATCTCTCGGCTGTTGGCTATGAAACTGTTCGGTTAACTGTAACTTCTCGGACTGTAAAGGACCTTAATTGGGGCTGGATTCTTCAACTGTATTATTTCAAAACTCAGCTGGTGGTGAGAAGAGAATCGAGAGAACGCATTCATTCCGGCCCTTGAGACCCACCGGCCTCTTAGCCGCTCACAGATTGCACTCTCCCCGCCCCCAGACTGGGACTTCCGAACTGAGCGGAGCCGCAAAGCCTTTTCTCAGGGAAAGGTGATGGTTGCCCCTTTGAATCCACGTGCTACCCGACAAGCGCCGGCTCACTGGGTGACTCCAGGCCCAGACGCGACCACTCGGGGAGGGAGGGGCGGAGAATGTGGTGACGTCAAAGTCACGGCCTGCCCTTCTTAAAGGAGCAGGCTAGGAACTCATGTTCTTTTTTCTGTCTTAGGACGAATAGTCACCAAATGATGCAAAAGTTTTAAAGGCGAGGGGGTGGCGGGGCCTCAGGTGCGGGGCTGGACCGGAAGAGGAGTGAGTCTTCCTGGGCAGCGGGATCAGAGACGTCACTGTTGGATTTAAGCCTGCCTATTACCCGGGGACGTAGCTTGTGCAGTGGAAAAAGTACCCTACCCGCCGCTTGGAATCCCGGGCTCTTAACTTCGAGCCTCAGTTTCAGCTTCAGCTTCTGTAAAATATGGCCTAAAGGAGCCCTGGTGGCGCAATGGTTAAGTGCTCGGCAGCTAACCGAAAGGTTGGTAGTTCCTATTCACCCAACAGCTTCCCAATAGAAAGACCTGGTGATTTGCTTCCATAAAGATTGCGTCGTTGTTAAGTGCCCTCGAGTTGGTTCCGACTCGTATCAACCCAACCGTACGGACAACAGAACAAAACACTGCCTGGTCCTGTGCCATCCTCACAATCGTTGCTATACTTAAGTCTACTGTTGGAGCCACTGTGTCAACAAATTTTGTTGAGGGTCTTCCTCTCTTTTGCTGACCCTCTACCAAGCAGGATGTCCTTCTCCAGGGACTGGTCCCTTCTGATAATATGTTCAAAATACATGAGACGAAATCTCGCTGTTGTTGCTTCCAAGGAGCATTCTGGCTGTACTTCTTCCAAGACAGACTTGTTCGTTCTTCTGGCAGTCCAGGGTATATACAATATTCTTCGCCAACACCATAATTCAAAGGCATCAATTCTTTAGGCTTCCTTATTCTTTGTCAAGCTTTCATATGCGTATGAGAAGATTGAAAATACCATGGCTTGGGTCAGGTGCACCTTAGTCCTCAAAGTGACATCTTTGCTTTTCAACACTTTAGAGAGGTCTTTTGCAGCAGATTTGCCCAATGCAGTACTTCGTTTGATTTCTTGACTGCTGTTTCCGTGGGCATTAATTATGGATGCAAGTAAAATGAAATCCCTGACACCTTCAATCTTTTCTTCATTTACCAAGATGTTGCTTATTGGTCCAGTTGTGAGAATTTTTGTTTTATGTTGAGATGTAACCTATACGGAAGTCTGTAGTGTTTGATCTTCATCAATAAGTGCTTCAAGTCTTTTTCACTTTCTGCAAGCAAGGTTGGGTCATCTGCATATCACAAGTTGTTAATGAGTCTTTCTCCAACCCTGATGCCCTCGTTCTTCTTCATATAGTCAGCTTCTTGGATTATTTGCTCAGCATACAGATTGAGTAAGTATGGCGAAAGGATACAACCCTGACACACACCTTTCTTGACTTTAAACCACACAGTATCCCCTTGTTTTGTCTGAATGACTTCTTCTTGGTCTATGTACAGGTTCCTCGTGAGCACAATTAAGTTTTTTGGAATTCCCATTCCTTGCAACGTTATCCATAATTTGTTATGATCCACACAGTCGAGTGCCTTTGTATAGTCAATAAAACACAGTTAAACATCTTTCCGGTATTCTCGGTTTTCAGCCAAGATCCTCTTGACATCAGCAATGATAGTCCTCATTCCACGTCCTCTTCTGAGTCCAGCTTGAATTTCTGGCAGTTCCCTGTCAAAGCACTGCTGCAACCAATGTACTTTATGCAATCATAAAGATTACAACCTAGAAAACCCTACGGGGCAGTTTTACTGTCACATGGGGTCAGTATGAGTCGAAAATCGACTCCACAGAATCCGACAAAAACCACCTCAAAGTTTTGACACTTAGGAGAAATAGCAATGTGAAGTGACCGGCACACAGAAACCAACCAAAAATGTCTGTCTCATTCTCCCTACTTCAATACTACGTTGTGCGAAGGACCAATCTGCCTCCCACAGCGGTGTTGAAACTTGCCCAAGGGCACATGCATTTGGGATGGGCCTCTGGCTCCCAAGCCAGCCTTTCCCACTGTCCAGCCTGCTGGCTGGGTTCCACCTACTCTAATCCAGTAGTCCATCCTGCACGGGCCTTGCAGTTCATAGAGTGGTTTTGAAGTTGCGGCCTCATTTGACCGTCTGTAAAATGGCTAATTCCTGTTGGACACGGTTTGCTGCGAAGTTGTAAAACTTCAACAGGAGCCCTGCAGATAGCGATTGCCACGTGAGTATTCGCCATCATTACTTGATCGCCAAGCGACCTTGGAACACTGGTGCTAACCCCAGCGCCGCGCAGGCGAGGATGAAGAGGAGAGCAGGCGCTGCCCACGCTCCTCCGTTAAAGTTCAAGGGAGCGCGGGATTCCCGGGCGGCGCTCGCCGGGGAGCGCTGGGGTGGGGTTTGTGAGAATAAAGGGGTATCTATAAGCTGTCAAGCGCGGTGCTGGCAGCAGGCCTACGCTCTGTTGATCCCGCGACACCCGCGACCTTGGGGAGCTGGCCTTGCAAGCTGCCCGGCCCGAGGGGGGCGGGGGCGGGGGGCGGGGCATAGCGGG